CATACCGTACCATACCATACCATACCTACCGTACCATACCATACCATACCATACCATACCATACCGTATCATCATACCGTACCATACCATACCATACCTACCGTACCATACCATACCATACCTACCGTACCATACCATACCATACCATACCGTATCATCATACCGTACCATATCATACCATACCATACTATACCATACCATACTACACTTTGCCTTACCATACCATACCATACCATACCGTACCGTACCGTACCATACCATACCATAGCATACCATACCGTACCGCACCGTACCATACCGTACCATACCATACCATACTATACCATACCATACCGTATCATCATACCGTACCATATCATACCATACCATACTATACTACACTTTGCCATACCATACCATACCGTGCCGTACCGTACCGTACCATACCGTACCATATCATACCATACCATACTATACTACACTTTGCCATACCATACCATACCGTATCATCATACCGTACCATATCATACCATACCATACTATACTACACTTTGCCATACCATACCATACCGTGCCGTACCGTACCGTACCATACCGTACCATATCATACCATACCATACTATACTACACTTTGCCATACCATACCATACCGTATCATCATACCGTACCATATCATACCATACCATACTATACTACACTTTGCCATACCATACCATACCGTGCCGTACCGTACCGTACCATACCGTACCATATCATACCATACCATACTATACTACACTTTGCCATACCATACCATACCGTATCATCATACCGTACCATATCATACCATACCATACTATACTACACTTTGCCATACCATACCATACCGTGCCGTACCGTACCGTACCATACCGTACCATATCATACCATACCATACTATACTACACTTTGCCATACCATACCATACCGTGTCATACATACCGTACCATATCATACCATACCATACTATACTACACTTTGCCATACCATACCATACCGTGCCGTACCGTACCGTACCATACCGTACCATATCATACCATACCATACTATACTACACTTTGCCATACCATACCATACCGTGCCGTACCGTACCGTACCATACCGTACCATGTGAATAAAAAACATCAGAGGAACGAAACGTGCGTAACACTTGCTGATTATCTATTCAAGTTTCAGGAAAAACTGTGTCGGATAACATGGCCTATATTTTGTTCTGATTTTTGTAGATTTTTCCTGGTAATAGAAACACAAAGGCAGTTGTACGAACACACTTCGATGCACCTTTTCTGGCAAATATGCTGAGATTTGTAGCCAAGACCTGGCATAACAAAATCTGTATGAGGACTGAGGTTTATGGCTGTCCACCAGGTAATGATTCAAGTAATAGTTTTCTATGTTTATTTGGCGGGCTTTCCGCTAGTGACAATTTTTGCGGGAAATGACATTTTTACCATCAAAAATAAGTCTCAATAAAATTGTTAAAAAAGGGCGCAATAATACCATCAAAGTTTTTGTATTTGTGAAATGGATATCCAATTAGCATGTCTAGCTGTTTATGAGTGCAAAATTTATATGTTTATATTTTGGCAAAATTCGTCGTCAGAAGAACAAAGACAGGGCATAGTTTTATGTCTCGCGGTTTTGTCTGGGTTCAGGGTAGGGATTAGGGTCAGCAGTCATAAACAGCAAGACGTGAATTTTTAACGGAAAGAACACGTTGAGCAACCACCAGTGATTTCAAACTCAGCATGCGCAGACAGACAAAAATTGTCAAGTACGTCTTCGTACTTCGTTGTCTTGCTCTCTAATATCTTACCAGAGCGCTCATGCATGGTTTATTAAAGGCAGACCTTAGGGTCCATTCCCGAACAATCAGAAATGAGCTGCAAGTGGTTCGACTTAACTTGTACACACCAGTACACCACAAGTTTCCAACGTACACTATTAAACAACCATTTTAAATTATGTTTTAATTTGTCTAGATAACCCAATATTTGTGGTTTATACACAAACAGCAAGTGCTGGCAAGAATGTGACAATAAAAGGTACAGCCATGTAAACTCTCGCTTCTTAACTCTCATCAACTCTTGTCAACCCTCTGTCACTGCTTTGCTGTAATAAATAAACTGGTGTTTGTCGCGTTTGTGCACAGACGAAATGTTAGATGAAGTAACTTGTCTTTATAATTTTTTTCTTTTAAAGCAATTTGCATCACAGCTCCTGTAACTAAAACAGTTTTAAACAAAACAGTATTTGCATGCTTTTAGTAAAATTTTATTCATTGGGAATAGTTTGAAGAATACGTCTGTACACTGTTGAACAAAACTCTCTGGCTTTCTTTGTGCTTGGCGGAACCCCAGCTTCGTTTAGTAAAAATTTGCTCGTCCGTGACCAGAACAAAACGAGAAGACATTTTGTTTTTGTTCGGAGATGAATCGTGCAAGAATATCTGCAGCTGAGGAACCAATCAAATTGCGTGGAAAGCTTTCTCCATGCACCTCCCAAGTATATGCCAAACCGTGTTATTTTTTTCGTAGGAAAATATCGTTACTGCGCAGATTGCGAGTGTCCTGGATGTTTGAAAAGCTTATGGATGCGTGTATTTGGCCAAGACCTTCTCGTGGCTGCATATTTCTCGTATGACTGTCAGTACCATGAATTTGAAGTTACACTTAAGGCGTCCATTGTTCCTGGACGTCACAAAATTTACGTAAGTAGATAGCACATTAGAGATATTAGAGCTGTTACCATCGATCCATATCCGTATACCTTCAAATGCCTTTCTTTCCAAATCATTAAACTGCTTCTGTTTTCAAAGCTGAGTGTTGTTGGAAGGGGACATACATTGGGATTTACGGTATGGGGGTATTAGCTTATTTTTCTTACGGTATTTCGGTATTTTCCTTGAAAAATTGCGGTATTACGATATTGGAAATCTTGCGGTACACGGTATTTGCAATTTTGGCCTCAAAAACTGCAGTTTTTGTCGCTTGCGGTATTACGGCATTGAATACCCCCCTCCCCCCAATGCCCCCCTCTTGTTGTTTAGTGCATTTTAAATTTTGAAGTTGCCAATGAACCGATCATTGTTAAAAATTGTCGATTGCTCAAAACGTGAGAGAAAATATAGATTGATTTTACTGATCAAGAAGACCCTATACAGTGGAAACTTATATTGTTGTTAGTGCGAGGGGAAAATGCGGTACCACTGCTACATGAAGTACTAACAACATATATATATATATATATATATATATATATATATATATATATATATATATATATATATATATATATATATATATATATATATATATATATATATATATATATATATATATATTGTGTTGTTTTTTTTAGATGGGCGGCAGTGAAAGTGGTAACTTAATCACGGATAAAAATCTTGTGGACGAACGTTTTGTGGGTACCGTTACTGTCGAACAAGGTATACCATGATAATTAAACCATATTTACTTAATATACTTACTAAAGATATACCGAGGTCACTTCTCTAAAGTCTGGGTATCCCAACCATTTTGATACCACAAAGTAAGCCAATACGCGGCAACTATATATATAGTAATACTATATATGCAATCTATTTTGACTGTTATTCTCATACATATTCCTCAATGCATCCTTTTCTCTTTAGAGTTTAGCAGTTGCCTGGACTTACTTCTCTCCGGCCAGACCAAAAGCGGAGTATATAAAATAGAGCCAGACAGTCAGAAAGCTTTTGAGGTATGTGAAATTCATTGGATTGTGACAGGAATTGTGTTACTCATTGGGTGCCGTTGGCGTTCAAATGAAGCATTTGAGAGCCCTGACAGGTTTTATGATGATCGCCCCGCAGGAAACTCCTTATATGTAATGATTGCGCACTCTATAGCATTTCGTGAACCAAAAAACACTTGTATATTGTGAAGCTCAGTAATAGTTAATGAAGAAGACCCAAAAGAAATCAGGACCGTGCAGAAGTTTGTATATCTGGTACAAACATCATACTGATTTACATAAACTTTAAGTTCAATTTTCTCACCAAATATCGTTCATTTATTTTAAAGTGCCTATATCATGGTTTTGGAGTTTGCATATCTCGAAAGTTTAGGGTATTTTAAGACACTTTGCAATATAATTTGTTATTGAAAAATTTCACCATGATGGATTTATTAGCTCTTAAAGTTACCGGACATGACGTCAAAAGGAGAATTGCAAATCAGTTTTCTTTTGTATCGTTGCAACAAAATTCTCCTTTTGACGTCATGTCCGGTAACTTTAAGAGCTAATAATTCCATCAAAATGAAATGTTTCAATAACAAAATATATTGCAAATGTCTTAAAATACCCTAAACTTTCGAGATATGCAAACTCCAAAACCATGATATAGGCACTTTAAATTGTTGAAGAATAATGTTCTCAGTAAGACGTTTCACAATCCATTTACATCATTCGCGTTTGTATGTCCGATACAACACGGCCTCTCATGTTGTGAATAGTACATACAAGTGTGTAATCCCTGACTGTAATCCACTTCTATCTGCAGGTTTACTGTGACCAGGAGACATTTGGTGGAGGATGGACACTGTTTCAAAGGCGTGTGAGCGGCGATGAGGATTTCGATCGCGTTTGGGCAGATTACAAAACTGGCTTTGGAGAGCTTAGTTCAAACTTTTGGCTCGGGAATGACCACATTCACAGATTAACCACAAGCGAACGAGAATTGTTGGTTGATCTTGACTCCATTTCTGGCGACCATGCCTTCATCTTATACAAGTCTTTCCAAGTTGAGAATGAGGACGCTTTTTACAAACTGCATGTTTCAGAATACCAGCAGTCTGTGGGCGACTGTTTGAGTTTGTGTAAAGGCATGAAGTTCTCAACTAACGATCAAGATAATGATGTGACGGAAGGCTACCATTGTGGTGAACTACGAAACGCTGGTTGGTGGTATAAGAATTGTGTGAATTGTCATTTAAATGGAATACTTAACTCAAGTGCAGAAACTCATGACAGACTTCGCATGGATGTGTGGCAGAGGAATAAATTCCTTGATAGGTCGGAAATGAAATTACGAGACAGAGAAGGTGAGTTATGATTTTTTATATTACCAGGATTGATATGATATGATATGGTATGGTATGGTATGGTATGGTATGGTTGAAGGGTATTGTAGATGGAAATTATCGAGTGGAAATTTATATCCGTTTATTAAACCTAACCAGGAACAGCTGCGAAACAAACCTGCGACCCTGCGATTCCGATTGTTTGCGCTCTAACCAACTGAGCTACAGAGGCCAGAGAGACCATGGCATGGCGTGGCAGGAGATTTATGGAGATTCAACTACCTGGAGAATGTAAGCAGAAACTTGCTTATATTTTTCAGGCAGTTGAACTTCAATCAATCTGTATGGTATGGTATGGTATGGTATGGTATGGTATGGTATGGTATGGTATGGTATGGTATGGTATGGTAAATGGTATGGTAAATGGTATGGTAAATGGTATGGTAAATGGTATGGTAAATGGTATGGTAAATGGTATGGTAAATGGTATGGTAAATGGTATGGTAAATGGTATGGTAAATGGTATGGTAAATGGTATGGTAAATGGTACGGTAAATGGTATGGTAAATGGTATGGTGTGGTATGGTATGGTATTGTATGATATGGTATGGTATGTATGATATGGTATGCTATAGTATGATATGTAGCTCAATAAACATTCATCTCGTTTGAATTTACTTCAAGAATTATTAATGGTTAATAATGTTTTATTTTAGTTGTAACATGTAACGAGCAGTACTGCTATTACTTGCTGAAATCAACCCTCCTTTGGAATGCAGCTGTGGAGAAATGTCGTAGTTTTAACGCTGATCTGCTCTCGGTTCGTGATGCCACTGAAAATCAATGGATTGTCAACAATATTCTCAAAAACCAAAGTATCAGTCGCGTACATTTGGGTAAGTCCCAGTGGTGTACAAGGGGGAGGCCGTGGGGCATGAACCGCCAGATAATTTCCATTGAAATTGAGGGCTCAGTAGTGAGAATAAAAGGAAAATTAGCCAATACTGACTTGACTTTCAAAATTGAATAGACGTAATATTTCAAATCCGAGGACTGGACTAGATTTCAAGTTTGCGCAATTTGATCAAGTCCGAGGCGAAGTCGAGGAATGGATCAAAATGCGAGGACTTGAAATGTAGTCTAGTCCTAATTGGAGGATTTGGAATGACATCTCATACGAATAAATCACCAGGCCTTAAAACATCGGTCGGTCACGGACATTGTCCGACCCATTCGTGAAATTGTCCGACGTAGTGAGGAAGCCACCGGACATTCTGTCCGACATAAGTGAAACTGGGGTTTACTGTTTGTCCGACTCGAGTGTATAGGTGTCCGACCGAACTGTAGCTTTGTCCAACGTAAATCAATCTGCAGTAAGGCTCGTATGGTAAATGGAAAATAAAGGACAATTGAGTATTGTATAAAACGTAAACTGCATGGAAATGTTGTTTTAACGTAGGCTGATCGAGCGCGGGGCGGCGACGTGTTAGCGAAATGGTGAAGTGGAAAACGGGCTTAAGTTGTCGAAGTCTTACTGCTGTTCTTGCAAGCAAGTTAATTTTGGCTTGGAAATAAGTATGAATGACACAAATGATTTAATATCTTCACAACATTTACCGTTTAGAATTAATACATTGTGCTGATATTCATTTGTGTCATTCAGACTTTAATTTCCAAGTCAAAACTGAACTGAAGGTCCGGCCCAAACTCAACGTCATCGGACATTTTGTCAGACGGCCCTGTAAAAGATATTTTAAGGCCTGAAATCACTATATTCAATTTGAGGTGAATTAATTTTGATCCCGTCCAAGGACTGAATTAGTTTTGATCCAGTCCTAGGACTGGATCAATACACTTCATCAGGTATCCAGTATTATCATGTGAATAAAATAAAGTAATATGGTTGGATAATTTACTCATGCATTATTAATGAGTTTGAGATCTAAATGTATGCAGGCTTCAGTTGAGGTGGAGAAGGGCAGCATGCTAAAGTAAGACAGTGCGAATATAAAACAGAGTTTGTGAGTTCATGGCAGCAAGGTATACTATCAGTCATGCTTTCGCTCGCTACTCTGGTTTGAGTGAAAGTAAACTAAGTGAATATTGTTTTCTTTAAAGGCATATATAATATGACACGCTGGACAGACGGTAGTACCTTTACTTACAATAATTTTCCAACTCCTAACTTTGATGCTGGATGTCCTTATTTACGAATGGATGGCGTTTGGGATGCAGGTGATTGTGGTAGTCTCAAACATGTCCTTTGTAAGAGAGGTAAGGTCATATGGGGCAACGGGAAGCTATTTAAAAAAACTAATTTTAAACTAAAACTGTGACTGTCAGAAAAACCTTCTCTGCAATGTCTACCATACCACATGTTCTTCTGATCTCTTTATTACTAGCTCTCCTCCCTTACAAATCCACATCGTCTGATTTCTTCATTCCATAATGTCTCTAACTGGCTTTCCTTAATCTCCTTATTATGTGTCCATACCATCTCAGCCTTGCTTTCCTCACCTTCTCTGCAATGTCTACCTCTCCATATCTTCTTCTGATTTCTTCATTCCATATTGTCTCTGACTGGCTTGCTTTCATCTCCTTTTATTATGTATTCATACCATCTCAGGCTTGCTTTCCTCACCTTCTCTGCAATGTCTACCACCTCACGTCTTCTTTTGATCTCTTCATTCCATAATGTCTCTGACTGGCTCTCTTTCATCTCTTCTTATTAGATGTCCATACCATCTCAGCCTTGCTTCCCTCACCTTCTCTGCAAAGTCTGCCACGCCATATCGTCTTCTGATCTCTTCATTCCATATCTCTTATTCTCTTTATCTCCTGCAGCTAAATTCTGTTATAAAGAAACCTGCCACGTATTTACTACAGAAAAAATGAATTATAACGCCGCAGAAGGTTACTGTCGTGATATTGGATATAATATTGTCAAGATAAACAGCAAGACGAAAAATGAATATGTTGCTAATGTTATAAAGTCTTTGACCATGAATGATGATTGGATCAGTCCATATATTGGTATGTCTAGTGCAATCCCATTTCCACCCTGTGTACCCCTTAGTATCCTTAGATTACATTTAATTCATTTAATTCATTCAGTATCATGTAATTACTGTTTTCATATATGTTATGTTTAACAAATATAAAACATTTTCCTTGTTGATATATAGTTATATCACACGAGTGGAAATTGGGAAAACGAGAAATTGTGTGGAAACACGACGTCAGTAGGGCGGAGTGTTTTCACACAATTTCACAGAATATAAAGAAAGAAATTTTCCGTGTTGACATTGAGTTATATCAACACGGTTCGTAGCCAATCAGCGACGGCGGTCTCGGGTCCACAAAACACACTGTTTCCCTCGGTCTCAGTAAGGGACGGACCATTAGAAAAGTGATGGGGGGCATGTAGGGGGGGGGGTCCATTTCCAACGTGTACGATTATTTTTTCAAAATTTTTTGTTGTGTCGATTTTTTTTTGTATAATCCCTTGCTTGAATTTTATATTTTTCCAAAAATTGTTGGCGACTAACATCAGTTTAGTTAGTGTTTAAAACACATTTTCCCTCAAAAACTCTTCTTAAAACATGATTAAAACGCTTTTTTTGCACCAATATCTGCTATATTTAGGTTTAGAAAATCTCACACAATTACTTTTCCTTTTATTATTTTTCTTCTTTTTTTCCAAATTTGGGGACCACCCTTACACTGTACCTTTGATAGGCCCTGTCAACTTATAATTTTCCCTATTGAAAAGTCTTTGCGCGAATATTTTTTTCAACCTTGTCTGGTGCACGAATTATTTTTTTTCTTTTTCCCCTGCTCGATTATTTTTGCTTTTGCCCCTCCCCCCCATCACTTTTCTAATGGTCCGCTCCTAAATAAGTGATCATTATAACGTTTCATGTTATATTTATTAAGATAACGATTCTCGTCTGGTTCGTCTCTCGCAAACATTTATAAAAAATTATTTTAAAAAGATTATTCAAGTTTATAGTCCCGCGCGAATATTACATCACGCATGAATATTACGTCACGCTAAGTCAAATTTCGTATCAGCATAAAAAGCGTGATGAATGTCTATAATGTGAAAAACATACATTGTTAGGGTTCGACACTAGGATTAACCTTTGAAAGATTTAAAAATTTTTGCAATCAGGTTTACGGCGCAGCGGTGCGGAATTTGTATGGTATGATCGCACAAGACTTAGTCTAGACAACTGGCAAGCTGGAGAACCAAGTGAAGCAGACAATGACTGCGTTAAGATGGACGCAACTGGATTATGGAAGGATGCCTCGTGTTCGCTTGATAAGGCTGTTGTCTGTGAAAAAGGTTTGTCAACTTAAATGGACCATTTGCATTATAGACTAAATTTTGATCTACAGTAGACCAAAAATTTCATCACAGCTTGAAAGAGCATCACAAAATTAGTAATATTCCAAAGTTTCGTTGCGAAATGTTGTAAAATGCGGATAATATAGCCTAGCGAAATTTGCAATTTTCAGTCATTTTGTATTACAAACGGGAAATTGTTGCCCCAACACCCGATTGGGCTGTCAATTTCCCGTGCGTAATACAAAATGACTGAAAAACGGCAAACTTTGCATGGCTATATTATCCGCATTTTACAACATTTCGCACTTTGGAATATTACTAATTTTGTGATGCTCTTTCAAGCTGTGATGAAATTTTTGTCTAGATCAAAATTTAGTCTATGATGCAAATGGTCCATTGTGTATACATGATTATCCACCAAACCCAGCCTAGTTCAACCAAGTCAAGTGCAAAAAACATCTTTCATTTCACCTGAACACCTGTAAATCTCAATACACATCAACTTGCGGTTACAGCTCGACAACTGGCCTCTGTAGTTCAGTAGCCTCAGTTGGTTAGAGCGCTCCACTGGAATCACAGGTCGACACTGTCTTAGTGATCCTTTTTTTTCCAAAATATTTTTACAAAGTCATACGCCTGTATTCTAAAAGCTCACTCAATGAGTGGAGGTTCAATTGATCTTCCCTTGAGAGTCAATGCTGTCTTTGAATAGCTGGAATGTGAGTAGTCACATAGTAAGGTATGACACTAACCCTCCAGCTATTCAAAAACATCACTGACACTCAAGGGAAGCTCAGATTGAACCTCCACTCTTTGAGTGTGAGTGAGCTTTTAGAATACAGGCGTTAATCTGCCACCAGCTTTGCTACTGGATCTTACTGGAAACCGGAGATCAATTTAAAGGGGCAATGTCACCGATTTTTGACCTAAAATACCGTTTATTCAAAAACTGAACTACAAAGTTAAAAATAAACATTGTAAATGGATTAAGTTATGATATATGAGTCATATTAAACAACTTTGAACTTCCACGAAACATGCATGTAATATGACATTTTCATAAAAATTGACTAAAACTTGAAAAAGTGTCTGCCAACAATTAATCAAGATGTCATTTACAATCCATCTCAATCCTGACGTAATCTTGCCCATCCAGACTTCTGTACATGTTTTTTGTGTCTGTTATTGCTTTATTTTGTGCTTACACTCATTGTTTTTCAGTTTTGGGCAAAATTTGCAAGGGTTGGAATTGCCCAAAAATCGGTGACATTGCCCCTTTAACTGCACCCCACACTATGGTCAGAAATTAGATAAAGTTGGATCTGTCGACATTAAGATGACGTTAACACTATTAATACATTTGTTGCTTAGATTATAGTCCTGAGAAGAAGCCCGTAGATTGCTTGGAGCTTCTTATGTCTGGCTCAGTCCGTAGTGGGGTATATACCATAGATCCAGACGGCGAGGGTTCAATAACTGTTTACTGTGACCAGGAAAACTTTGGTGGTGGTTGGACAATACTAATGAGACGTTATAGCTCGCACACAAACTTTCATAACAACTGGGAAAAATATAAACTTGGTTTTGGCGAGATTAGTAATGAATTTTGGTTAGGAAATGATTTTATTCATAAACTAACGAGAGTTAGTAAAGAGGTACTGTTCTTATGGTTTGGAGCATTTTTTTTTATATTATTGTTAATGGTAATTTGGGCGAATTATTAAAGAAATAGATAAATACTTTACTTTCAACCTGACGAGTTGAACCTCAACATGTCGTTACAGAACCGTCTCCGACACAGATTAATACTAAACTAAACTATCCTAGCCCTGACCTAACTCAGGGACGCCGGAACTGGGGGGGGGCAGGAGGGGCAGCCGCCCCCGTTGCCCTTTACCAGGAGGGGCAAGGGGGGGGGGGGCAAAGGTGCCCTTTCAATTTAAAGGATTGTCTTGGCGAAATGGCGAATTGTCAGAAATGTTAGTGCAATTCTTTTACGAATTTGCTTCAGAAAACGCAAGAAATGCAGTCATCGAGCTTCAGGAATAGCACAATCGCCTGGCGGAGAATCCCATCAAACCCCTATCATCCAATAAATAGAAAAGATGACTAGGCGAAGTTCAACTCCCGATGTTTTGCAAACATCTTTTAGTATATATCAAATCAAAAGTGCCGTTTCACGAAAATCTGCCCCCCCTTGCCTTCACATCGTTCCGGCGTCCATGACCTAACTTCAACGTAAATTTAACCTATTTCGAAGCGCAGAGTTAGGTTATTTAAATTAAGGGCAGTTCTGTATTGAAGTTTATTCACTTTTTCCTAGGTATTGTTCGACCTGAAGTCCAACGCCGATGATAAAACATTTGTTCATTACAAAACATTCAAAGTTGCCGATGAAAGCGATTCCTATCGACTTACTATTGGGGATTACCAAACCTCTCCAGCCGGCGATGCTATGGCCGACCAGAACAATATGTTATTTTCAACAAAGTTTCGCGATAATGACGATAAAGTCAATATTCATTGCGCCTACAAAGACAGGGGGGGATGGTGGTATAGCTCATGTGGATCGGCACGTTTGAATAGTCAGTATGGAGAAACGTCTGCCAATAGGAAACTCCAATGGAAAACGTGGACTAATAATGTGGTTATTAATGAAGCAGAGATAAAAATACGTAGCAAATCTGGTAGGTTTCGAGGGATGTTTTACTGTTTCATAATCATATATCACGGTAAACATTGATGGGTTCACGTTTTGTTTCTGTTGAGAAAATGTCATTGACAACGGAGCATTAACACTCTCAGAAGTCCAACTTTCAAAGTCATTTTTGGTACGCGTGACATAAAATTGATGACATGTGGCAAGAAAATCTATTTATGTTATCTCTTATAGTGGTGAGCTGTACTGATCATTTCTGCTACTACTTGACCAGTAAGCAATTGAGTTGGACTGAAGCTATCAAAGAGTGTCGAAAGTTCAATGCAGATCTTGTATCTATTCACGGCGAGGTTGACCAGCAATGGATTATCACCAATATTCTTACTCCACAATCTCTTGATGAAATTTATATTGGTATGAACATAGAATGCTATCTCGCTTTAAAACCCATTTTTTAGCAACCATGTTTCTCGTCGACACTTTCTTCCACGCTTCCACGGAGGAACCTAGGAACAAGTGTGGCATTCTAGAAAGCCATGTTTCCCGATGGTGGGCAAACCAGGAAACATTGTTTCCTAGCCATGTTTCCCGATGGTGGGCAAACCAGGAAACATTGTTTCTTAGCCATGTTTCCCGATGGTGGGCAAACCAGGAAACATTGTTTTTTAGCCATGTGTTCAGATGGTAGGCAAACCAGGCAACTTAGCTTGTTATTGAGTATGATGTTTTTTTGTTTCATGAACAGGTCTTGGTATGAAAAGTACGGGAAATTGGACGGATGGAAGCCGTGTCAGTTTTAGCAAGATAGCATCCGCGATTTCAAGCGATAAATGTGTCATTTTGAAACAGGATGGTTCATGGGATATGGTTGATTGTACACAACCCAAACGTGTCGTGTGTAAAAGAGGTACCAAATTATTACACCTAATTAGGCTCTTTAGTATGGTATAGAGCGTTTGCACATGACGTCACAGCCGCCATGTTGGTGTTCCAATTCAAAAGAATTTTAATTAGACTCTTTTGTCTGGAACACCAACATGGCCGCCATGGCTTTTGTTGAGTTGGTCCCTGGGGAATGAGTGCAAACTCTCTATAATGAGGTTAGAAATTGGACGATTAGATAATACCACCACCTAATACAGTACACTGACCGACCGATTGACAAAAACCTAGCCTTGTCCGTACTACAACGCAAGCATAAGCGGAATGATAAACAAGCGGTACGCTTTAATATGATGCATGTTCTTATGGTTGTCTTGTTCTCACTGACACTGTGTCCTCACTACAACGCAAGATAAAGCGCAAGCAAGTATGTTTATGTTTATGCTTACGTTGCGTCGTGGTGGGGACAGTACATAAGAAATCAATACGTTTGATCCCTTTTATACTGGTACATATGCTTATACAGTGAGGAGCAGGCTTTCGTCAATAATCCCGATACAATTTTCCATGATGTACCCATAATATATTATTGAGCAACCAATTCATGCTCTAATTATGCGAATTCTGCATTGCAGGTAAATTTTGTTTCAAAGGTGACTGTTATGTTGTCAACACAGCATTGCATGATTCTCGCAGTGTGGGTGAAGATTACTGCCAAAGCATTGGTTTTAATCTGGTCAAGATATCAAACGAACAGGAAAACAGATATGTGGGGGATGTAATACGACAGTCGTCGGCGGATAATACATTCTATACTTGCTTTATTGGTACGCATATTTTATATACATCCTTTTTTCGATATTTGTTGGTTTGTATGTATGACCTGAATTATAAGAACACATTTCTAAATCTCTTGGCCCACACAAGCCCACAAATCGCATTTAAGATTCAAGACTTTGTTTTGAAGTGCTTATTTCTTCCTCTGGACAGAGGTGGAAATGCTTGTTTTTTTTGTTGTGGAAATTTGGGTTGAGGCCACAAAATTGTCTACAAAAGATTACAGTAGATATAGGGGGAAACAAAAAAATTTGTCCTTTGTGACTGTCCGTTGTAGTGTTGTCATGTTAAGCAATGTGTCATATAAGACATACGCCTGTATTCTAAAAGTTCATTCACACTGAAAGAGTGGAGGTTCAATCTGAGCTGTCCTTGAGTATCAGTGCTGTTTCTGAAAGCTGGAGGGTGAGTAGTCACATAGTAAGGTACGAGATTAACCCTCCAGCTATTCAAAAACAGCACGACGCTCAAGGGAAGCTCAGATTGAACCTCCACTCTTTGAGTGTGAGTGAGCTTTTAGAATACAAGCGATAGACTGACAAGCATATAAGATACTGAATCCTGCAGTAGTCATAGCAGTAATTGGTCTCCAAGACTCTTTTATAGTTGTTGTGTGTTTGTATTTATGTACAATAGCGTACTTGGTGGAAAAACAATCAAATTCAATTAAAAAATATTTCTAGGATTATCACTGGTTAATAAGAGGCACGTGTGGTCAGATTCCACAATGTTGCAATATAGTTCATGGGGAGCTGGTGAACCACTTATGGGAAATGAATCTCACGTACTATTTAGGAGTGATAACATGTGGATAGATGTCACTGCTCAAACCTTTTATCCTTTTTGCGAAAAAGGTAAGTTTGTCCATTTGCATTGGGACTCTTCGATCTGGTGTTTTCATCAGGGACGATGTCGCGAGGGAAATCATGACTTGTGTTTAACGAGGTTGGACACTGAACTCACAAGCTTAGCAGACATATTACAAGGTTGTTGCAACCAAATCTTTTTCCCAGTGGAAAATGGGAGAACTCGAAATTGTGTGAAAACACCCTCCGGGCGTCGTGTTTCCACACAATTTCCCATTTACCAAATTTCCACTCGTGTTGACATAACTGTGTATCAACACGGAAAATGTTTTATATTTGTTAAATATTAACTCAAATGTCATTGATTTAAAGCCGAATTTCATAACGTCTTGAAAACCAGAACCAGCCGAGAATGAGGCTTCGGTGGCAAAGTGGTCAGCGCACTTGCCTTTCACCTCTAAGGTCGCAGGTTCAAGTCTCAGTCCTCATGTGAAAAGAGTAAAGGTCAACGCTCTGCCGAAAGTCGTGGTTTTCCCCGGGTACTCCGGTTTCCTCCCACAGGGGAAGTTGACAGGGTGGGTTAGGTAAAAAGGGCCCATAGTAATTGGCATATGCTGTTGTGGTGACTCTACCTCAGTTGGTAAAGCTGAATAAATAAATAAACAAATAAATAAAAACGTATTAGTAATAAGGTGCAAAACAAACTCCGAAAAACACCGAGGGTGAAAAGCACCTAACAGCCCAGGTAGGAGATATTATATTTACGGTGAGGGTTGCCCGATTGCTGGCTTCTCACTTCTGATATGTCTTGTTTTTGTCCATATTTCGGTTTCTGTTTTGTACTTACGTTTCATTTAAGCATCAACTATTTTTGTCTAGGTCCGATAGTGAACAGTTGCACTCAAGTGCGCAGGCATGGCCGCAAAGAAAGTGGTTTCTACTCCGTAAGCGCTGGAGGTATCAAGCAATTCATGGTGTATTGCGACTTAAGCAGCGACGATGATCCTTGGACAGTAATACAGAGGCGGTTACACGGCAGTGCACTCGCAGATTATCACTCGAAATCATGGACTGACTATAAAGATGGTTTTAAGTCAGATGAAATGAATTTCTGGCTGGGTAACAAGTATATTCACGAGCTAACAAAAACGCCACAAAAATTAAAGATAGTTATTACAACTGAGGAATTCAATGTTTATGAAGCTGTTTATGAAGGTTTAACAGTTGGAGATGAAGCTTCTGGATTTGAGATTAATTTTGGATCATATTCAGGTTTATAGCATATTCCATTTTTATTTCAATTAATCCAAAGATAGCTTGGATATATGCAACCTTTACTAAATCAATGATCTTTTGATTAGGTACTGCGGGCGACTCCTTCTCCAAACATCGTGGCATGCGATTTTCAGCTGTTGATCAAAATATTACTAATACTTCATGTACGACCAAACATCCTGGAGGCTGGTGGTTTGCTGACTGTCTTGACTCAAACCTCAATGGGAAATTTGAGACAGCAAGCAATCAAAATGAAACTATTTTCTGGAGGACTATTAACGAGAAAATTGCCAAGACTGAGATGAAAATACAACCCTATGACAACAAGGGTAAGTTTTTGTTAAAACCATGATTTTTCTGTGTTGGTGTAATGTACTCAGGTGAAAATGATGCTTGTGATGTTACTCTGAATATATATCCACACCGGGCAAGCTTGAAAAATATGCCTGACCACGGTGGGAATCGAACCTACGACCTTTGGAAAAGGTCGATTCCCACCGTGGTCAGGCATATTTTTCAAGCTTGCCCGGTGTGGATATATACTCAGAGTAACATCACAAGCATCATTTTTGTTAAATGTTTGGATAACTCTGTCAGTGCTATCCCTTAGTGCGCTGTGGTCAATGCTTGACAAATGGACTCTGTAGCTCAGTTGGTTAGAACGCTGCACCGGAATCGCAGGGCCACCAAAAGCCTGATATTAATAGTTTTCTCTGATATTTCTGACCATTTCTTCATACAGTTTCAAATACGAAGTTCAGTGGCATCATCCGTACCGCCAATGCCTCTCTTGGTGTGTCATTCACTTCCGACACGACCGAAATTAAAGTGGAAACATCCTCAGAAGAATGGACGACACGTGTTCCCAGTCCAGGGCCGTTTCCTACGCACGTGGCTATCACGTGGGATGAGAATCAGAAGTTGAGATACTACGAGAACGGTAGTCTTCGGGCGGAAAGTGCTTCTGCGGAGCTATCAGGGAGCAATAATGAGGAAACATCAATGTCAGTTTACCGCGAATATGTGTGGTTGAATGAACTGAAATTATGGAACTCTGTTCTCCCTGAATTCAGTGCAAAGAACCAACACGAAACTAGTAAGTACACATGTCTTTTAGGGGCGGACCATTGGAAAAATGTGAAGGGGGGGAGGGGAAAAAGTGTTTTCAACTTGATACTGAGATACTTTCTAAATCTTAGTGGTACATGCTTCCTTGTATTCTATAGGGAACTTTACATTCGAAGAGGTTGGTTACTTGTGGACATTCGAGAATTCGTCTCTACCTTACAGTTGGCAAACAAGCAGTAATTGTACTCCTAGTGAATTAACTGGACCTTGTGGAGATCACACATACCTGACAAGTTTAGGTAAGACATGATAGAGCCATTATACAAGCATTTCAAGTATGGTATGTACCGTATCAAAGAACGGATAGAGCTGTCCAGTCGAAAGAAGTTAATTCAATCCAGTCAGTCCAGTCAAGTTTAGTTCAGTTCAGTTTAGATACAGAATAACTCTGCGTGTGGTTTTATAGAACAAAACTAAATGGATCCGAGCAAAAGAAAATATCTATGTTTTCTTTTAAACCATGCAGGTACGTTTGTTTTTGTCGAGGCATCCAGACCAGCTGAGCTGAATGACCGAGCTGTGATGACTAGTCCCAATCTCCCTGGCAGTTATCGATGTCTAAAGTTCTGGGTTCATAAGTTAGGAGAGAAATTTGGTTCATTGAATATTCACTTTAGTACGAATACGAGTACTATCAGCACCTTAGATGTCCCAGCACTGAACGTTGGAGGAAGTCACGGAAATAGATGGAAATATATGCAAGTAGATGTGGATGTCACAAATGTGTTTAGGGTGAGAATTTTCTCAGCGAATACGACAAACCGTATATCGTAAAAATTTCACAGCTTGTTAACAAGATATGTTCGCACTGCTTGTTCCCAGTTGTTGACCAGTCTGGAACAAGTTGGTATCATCTTGTAACAAACAAGTCTGGAACAAGTTGGTATCATCTTGTAACAAAGTTGATGAGGCCAACAGACAAGTTGTTCCAAGAAGTCTGACATCGTCTGCACGTGACAAGTTCATGGCAACAAGCTCGTAGCAACTTGTTGCGAACAACCTATACCAGTTTTGTTGGAACAACTTGTGGTAAGTCTGTCACCAAGTCTCGATAATAAAACTATCTAATCATTTTTCTTGATTTTAGATTGTTATTGAAGCAAATAGGGGTGACGGTTCAAAGGCAGATATTGCTGTTGATGACCTGATGCTGACAACAACAAGTTGTGAAAAAGGTAAAAATTAATATTATGTATATAATATTAGGTTATGCATGTCTGTTGCGACCAAATTCATTCATGTGTATATTTTAAATGCTTGGTTACCTTTGTTTCATGCGTGGCAACGGGCATTATTGCGATTTACTTAACATCTTTCTATTATATAGAATGTTATCCACCATGTATAATTGGAGAGAAATGTGATCCATTATCTCTTGTTTGCGTTTACGAAGGTAAGAAATTGTTCTAAATTGATGTGCTTATTAAGAATTTGTATACTTTTGAATGTCGTATTTACTATCTTTACTTTATTTCACTACAGGCCACTACGATCATCGCTGGAGGTTAGACTCGTTGACCATCATCGATGAAAAAGACTCAAAACTTGGAGTAATTTCTGGCGATGTTCAATTGCAAAGCGATGGAGTTATTGAAAATTGCACAGTACTTCGTGGTAACGGAAGGATAGAATTTCGAGAAATCAAAAGAAGATTTTACAAAGAATGGTGCTACCCTTACCACACTCTGTCATTTTGGCTAAAATACGAAGAAATGGATTCTCAGAATATAATCTCGTTTGGAGAATTGGTAAAAATCACACAGACCGCACAAACACCAAAAGAACATCTCTCAGTAGAAGTGAAAACGGCGCACTGGAAATGCTCGACGTTCTTTTTCGTACCTTCTGATGTATGGTCTCACGTCATAGTGTCGGTTAAGGCATGGGAAGGTGTGGTATTGGTGTATCTAGATGGCAGTATCGTCGCAAATACATCACGTTTTCTGTGCACGGATCATGCGGTTCAAAATTACAACGTGAATTCCTTAACTGCCGGTGACGGTGGCAATGTTAATTTCGCATTGGATGACGTGAGATTGCTTTTCGATGCACCAGAAATCTCGGAGACTGTTAATTCTTACAAAAGTAGAACAGGTATAGGAATACGAGAAATAAAATTGGAAAATATTGGAGTGTTAAGAGTGTATTTTAAAGACGCGATTGTAGTGGAGTGTATAATATTTCTTTTTTTTTCAAGGGTTTCGGCAAATTATTTTCATTCAAGCTGAAGTGGCGACAGAGACCTGGAGTGATGAATTACTGGACGATGAAAGCGAAAACTATAAACAGCTGTCAGAAATGATCAAAACTAAAGTACGTGATTTGTCTGAACTACATGAAAAAACTCGTCAGTTCATTTTAATCAGCATCTCCTGACGAGTCTTATTTTTTTATTTTTATATTTCTTTATTTTTTGTAAAATAATTAATTCTATATAGTCCCTCATGGAAATCAGCCTCCTAACTGTTGTAGCGTGATTAAATAAAGTTTGTATAGGATGTATGTGTATAAAGCCTTCGCTTGGAACGTCGACGTGTTTTTAGGCCCAAACCTCAGCGGCTTAGTGTGTTTGCACACACCGTTTTGGCGCATTACCTTTGCGCTAAAAACATGACCTTATTTCGTTTTCAGATTATGGAGACATTTCAAAACAGATCGAAGATAAAAGATGTCGTCGTGGATAGATTCACGTAAGTGGAAACAAATTGTTTCTTCAGAGTTGGAGGTTTCGTCCCTTTTACCTTTGTGACCAGGAATTCGATTCATGGAATTCGATTGTTCTCTGATAAATGATTACAATTTCGCGTCAACATCATACGAGGAGGTTGCTCCCACTTGTTACTCTCGGTTTCATCCTAACTCTCAGGTTTATTTCTGTATACATTAATTTCCCCCATACAAATATACAATATGGAATGAAATATAATCCAATGCTAATATTAGCGGTTAATTTTCACATTTGATATCTAGGCAAGGCAGCGTTATTGCTGATATAAATATAATCTACGATAAAGTGACTTTTCAAGACATTCTGTTGGTGGAGGAGGCTATATATCTCAATAATACGTTCAGTGGATTGAATGTCCAAAGTTATGAATTCAATTCGACATCAGGTAATCCATGAGTTTTATTCTAGATTGATGCTGTGCTATACGAATCTTAGGTGATAGAGATGACCTCTTACTTGCGTGCAAGCGTAAGGTGTCAGTCAGCGTGTCGGCTGACCGGTCCACCAGCTCGTCATCCTATCCGTGGATTTGTTGGCCGGTTGATAGCAAAGTCAGGCCTTCAGGTTTCGGAAGTTTGTCCAAAACGCAAGGGATGCAAATTTGAGCAAGTGTCTAAATTTTTTAAAATGCGTTTGTCCAGTTCAAAACGCTCATTTTGAGGACACGAAAGGTTGTTGACCATTTCCTAACCATTCCAAACGGTTTCACGCACTCCAAAACACAAGGGTTACCAGTAACCAGGTTGGTTGCTGGCTTAGACATTTGGTCATCAATCAGTTGCTTGACTGGCCGGTCGGTCTTGAAAGTGTTGACGTCTTGACAAAGATAATTGTGACATTGAAGTTCATTTATTAATTTCCTCTTTTCTCTGCAGTTCCAAATGTCAGTCCAACTATCCTCACATGTATTTCACCTAATCTAACAACTATATACTTGAACTGGACCGAAGTGACCTCTCTGGATCTGAATGGCATTTTCCAAGGCTACAAAATCTTATATCGTATAACCGAACGGTCCGCTTACACTGAATATACTGGACGAGTATCGTATGGTAATAAAACCGAGATATTTTTGTACGACTTGGAGATGTACACGAATTATAGCGTACGCGTTCTTGCTTTTACGCTCAGTGGAGATGGTTTCATCAGCGACAGTGTGACAGTGATGACCCTTGATGGAGGTATGGGACAATTGCATAAAACTTCAATAGTAGCCAGGGTTTAACTGCAGTTATACTTTACTGCCGCCCTGGCCCCTAGTGCTACCCACGAAATTTGATTATAATTTTCCCATTCCATTCTAATTCCAGTAGTAATGTATGACTAAAACCAACAACTTTTCTATCTTTTTTATCATGAATTTCATCTAACCATATGTATATAATCGATCTTATTCCAGTGCCTGAAACCCCGAATGTCACAATGACCAATGTTAGCTCCACATCTCTATATGCTAACTGGACTATGCTGCCGAATGCGACCAAGTTTTACAAGCAATTGCAAGGATATCATATTTTGTATTGGAAACAATCCGAAGAGGATAACATTTTTAATCTCACTCAGTTTAAAAATGACGTCGTATTGAAAAACCTGGAAATTTGGACTTTCTATTGTTTTAACGTAACGGCATTCACCTATGGAAACATTGGTACTACAAGTGAAACACAGTGTGCTAGGACTTCTGAAGACGGTAGGTTAAATTAAAGGCACAGTTCAGCCTTTTGAACGATGGTTTTTAAAAACTAGGAAAATCAATTAAGCATAATTCAATTAGATCACCAAACTTAATGTTTTTAACATTTTAAAACATTTTTATTGTTAAAAACATCGAGTTTACTGACTTTGAATTATGCTTAATTGATTTTCCTAGTTAGTTTTTTGAATTAAAAGGGCTGAAATGCGCCTTAAAAACCATCGTTCAAAAGGCTGAACTATGCCTTTAAAGCCTGCCTGAAGTTTTATCACATCGTTGCAAACGGTGGAACTGCACGCATGCTAGTTGAATTATTATTTTATTTTATAACTTACTATATCGATCTTACCTTTCTTAATTATCTTATTGTACCATACCATACCATACCATACCATACCATACCACACCATACCACATAACATACCATACTTTATCATATTTATCATACTAATACTTTATACCATACCATACCATACCATACCATACCAATACCATACAACATAACATAACATACCACACCTTATCATACCATACCATATATGCCCTACCATACCATTCCATATACCATAACTGTTCATGTATCTTAATTTAGCTCCTGAAGAACCGCCTAATGATATCACTGTTCGAAATAGGAACGTCACAGCAATCGAGCTTAGCTGGTTACCACCGAATGAGTCAGCTATCAATGGAATACTTCGTTATTATAATTTGAGCTATCGTATTTTGAATGACAGCAGCTCAGACATTACGTCACTTACGTTGGAGAGTAGTAAATTGACGCATGCAATAACTGGTCTTTCTGGTTTGACATTGGTGCAAATCAACATTTCAGCTGTTACAGTTGCATCTGGTCCAGCTCACACGATCATGGCTTTAACTGACGAAGGGGGTAAATAAATCTTACAGTATTGTAGTTTAGTTCTGTTTGGCTGAGAAATTTGCAAAAGTGTGTCTTGGTTTTTTAAACTTTCTGTAAAGAAATCGATCATGCATAAAATAATTTATGCGTTTACAGCAATAAAGTGTGCATGAACAGTGGTTAATACGACAAAAAGTCCAAGTTTTGGTTGTCGCATTCGATTTAGTGTCTAGATCAAACTGTCCTTTACTTTGATAATTCATAACCACCTTTCAAATTTGCACCCTATGAATTCAAATTGTGTTTTAGGCCTTCCATTTTTGTGCGTAGCCATTTTGTGAGTGGTTTTTAAAAACAACCCTTCGCACTCAAAAATTTACTTTTCAAAATAGTTTTAGTGGTGAAGATACTAGCCCAAGATATCCATGCTTGCATAAAGTTTTCACAAATTTTGCGAGATTTGCAGTTTCGCGAACATTTTCTGTGCAGTTCTTTTTATACATCCTGTATACGTACAGCATCTAACGTTTTTTTTCTGTCATATTTTTAGTTCCATTGATTGCTCCTAATCTTACATCAACCAACGTCAGTTCATCTTCATACAAAGTAAACTGGACTCGTATTCCCAAAATCTTTCACAACGGAATATTGTTAGGATTTCATCTCTACTTTTGGAAACAAATAGATGGCGATGAATCTGCACGAAATATAACATACACACAAGATGTTCGTCTCGAACAGTTTCTGGGTGTTTCCAAATGGACAATATTTTGTGCTCAAGTTGCTGGCTTTACAGCAGTCGGTGACGGACCACGCTCTACGGTCGAATGTACACGGACATTTGAAGATGGTATGGCTTATTATTTGCTGTTTCGTAATTCAATATCATACAGTACAGTACAGTACCAATACCAGTACGAGTACGAGTACCAGTACCAGTACCAGTACCAGTACCAGTACCAGTACCAGTACCAGTACCAGTACAGTACAGTACAGTACAGTACAGTACAGTACAGTACAGTCCTGTCCTTAAATAAAGAGCTAAAGAGCTCTAACCACTGTGTTGACCACATTACACTTTAATACGATTGTAAGTTTTGGGGGTGCTGAGAACGAACTTCAAATTCATATCGATATTTTTTCTTATTTAGCTCCTGAGGCACCGCCAAGCGACCTCAAAGCCACTGATGTGACCAGTTCGACGATAGATCTAGGATGGTCCCCACCCCCATCAAACCTGGTACCAGGCATAATACGACAATACAATCTGACTTACCGCAATCTCAATTATACGGATGAACGTTTCACTGAAGAGCATTTCGAGCCGTCGGTGACGTCATTCACAATGGAGAATCTAATTGGCTTAACGTTGTACGAGGTTAATGTCACTGCGACCACTGTACTACCAGGACCGTGGGCGACTTTGTATGTTCTCACTTTGGAGAGAGGTTAGTACATCAGTTTCTTGTTCACGCCCAATGCGAGAGCATCCATCCTAAACGTGGATCAGATTTGACTTTCACTACTGCTACCGTTAAGGGAGACTACTAACCAATCAAATGCGTTTAATATGTTTGATTAACCAATCAGATGCGTTTAATATATTTGATTAACCAATCAGGGATCAAAATTAATTCACCTCACTTTAAGTGGTGATTTAATCGTATGAGATGTCATTTCAAATCCGACAATTCGGACTTTACCAGAATCTACTCCATAGAAATAATAGACAGCTGGTCTAATATTTCTATAATCCACTTCTTGCAACTATTGGATATCAGGGAAAGTCCTCGATTGGATATCAGGGGAAGTCCTCACAGTCGGATTTGATTTATGACGTAATATATGTATTGTAGTTCCAGCAATTGTTCCAACAAATGCAACGTGGTTGAACACGAGTTCAACATCACTTCAAGTGGACTGGTCAAGGATCCCGAAGTCTTTGGTCAACGGCATTCTTCTTGGATATCGTATCTTCATTTGGAAGGAATCTGAAGGACCAGCGTCCTCATGGAATGTCACCGTTCCATCTGCAAACAATACTTTAGAGATTGCTGATTTGGAGAAATATACAAGATATTGTGGACAAATGGAGGCATTTACGAGGGTCGGTGTGGGGCCACGATCGCTTGTCGAGTGTATGCGAACATCTGAAGACGGTAAGTTATACGATGGAGGGTATTTACATTAGAATGCTAAGCTAGAATCCTTTCATGACCCAAGGCTGACATTTGACATTTTTTACAATATTTTTGTTTCAGCTGTCGAGATCGCCCCAGGGGTCTCAAACGTATCAAACATAACATGGAATGAATGTCATTTATCCTGGGAGCCAGTCGTCAACTCATCTTTCATTCCGGGTATACTGAGGGCGTACCGTGTCACTTACAGAATCATCGACCCTCGATTTGACCAAAGCAATACGACATTCTTAGTCGACAGCCAGTTCAATTCAACTGTTGTAACAGGCCTTATAGGATTCGTCGATTATCAAATTATGGTAAATGGTTATACAATCAAAGATGGCCCTGTCAGTATTTCATACTTTAAAACCAAGGAAGGAGGTATGTGGATCTGTTAGACAGCATGATATACATGCCTTGTAGTAAAATACTGAACATATCCCATTTTTACTTCTAGTGCCCACCTCGCCTCCAACTAGATTCCTTAGTACGGATGTAACAATAACGACCATCACGATTGGTTGGGAGGAAATTCCCTTACCTGAGCGACACGGCATTATTACAGGCTATGAATTGACTTACAAAAAGACAACTGCAAGATCGAAACGAGATGTAGAAAAGACTCTCACGTTTGATGCAGACACACACACTGCATTCTTGTTTAAACTTGTTGCGTACACTAACTATACAATAACATTGAGAGGTCGTACTTCGATAGGATATGGCGTTAAAGGAGAGATTATAATCGAGACATTACAAGGAGGTGAGGAATTCTCTGGTATCGGACTGTTAACATGGGCGTACCGGAAGGAAAAAATTAGGGGGGCGGAAAGAAAATCGCCCGACTTTTCGTGATTGTGCTCGACTAGTACCAAAAAAATTTTTCCGGAAAAATTATTTTGGCGACGCCTATGGGACTGTATGTCTCACTCGGTGGGATAGGTAGAATCAGGTTATGGTTGAGGTCAGGGTTAGGACTAAGGAGTGGGTTAGAATAGGGATTACTAAGGGTTTGAATTGGGACTAGGATTGTGTTTAAATTAAGTTTGTTAATATATAAACTGATCATGAAATTTTGAGGTTGTAGTCGCATAATAAAGATAATTTGTACATCTTAAACAGCCATTTGTCTGTTTTTAGCACCCAGTATAGCACCGAAAGGATTTGCCGGTGTCAATTTTACTGGACCGACAAGTATCTTTCTATCCTGGGGTAGTTTGTCTCAAGAAAAACTCCAGGGCAAATTGAGCGCTTATGAAGTGAGATACCAAGCTTTCTCAGTCGCTGATGAAGAACTATTAGAGCCACCTCCTGAACAAGTCGAAATCGTGCATGGAAACAGCGTTACATTTACTGGCTTGTCAACCTACACCACATATAAAGTTTCAGTTGCAGCTATCTCTGGTGGGGGCAAAGGGGTAACCTCTCGTCTGTTATACGTTGGTAAGTATTACAAAAAGGTGGGTTTTGAGGTGTTATCGAGCGGTATTCAGACTCTTGGCTCCAAAATGGTTGATACTAAATAATTAGCCCTGCGGATTGATAAAAATCCCGCTAGTAACTTCCCTTCACTAGAAACGTTGAAGTTCTTCTTGTATTTTTCAGATAGTTGTATCCCTATCAATCCGAAACTTTCTTATAATTGCCACTACCTACACTGGCACAGACCATTCAATTGTATAACCCACATTATTATATGGCTTTTCAAAATTCTCTATTCTGATTGGTTGACAAGCGGTCCGTAAAAAGCCATATGGTCCGTATTTTCCGTATCTGGACCGGTGTCCCGGATGTCGTTTATCTGGCAGGAAATTTTTGCTTTGCAAACAGAAAAAATTTTTGCTTTTTAAATTTCCAATTGTGTGTCATTAAATTTACAGATAAAAATTTCAGACAACCAAATTGTTTTTGATTGAGCATGCATGCCTACCGTATATTGTTACCCAGTGAAACTGACGATAGCCGATTTAATTCGCGCAAAAAGCATATGCTCACAGATTCAGTTCAGCCAAATAATAAACCGATTATTGACCCCGCTTGTTCGGTCTGTACTGTGAAATATCAGACCTCTGTTTTTTTGCATGGACCTCGCTCCTTCGTCGCTCGTTCCATACTAAAAAACCTCGGTCTGATATTTCACAGTACAGACCTCACGCTGGGTCAATAAGCCGTTAAGAATATGAATAAAAAAAGGTCATAAGAATAAAAAAAAAAAGCTCTTTCGTTTAAAAGCTTAAAAGCTCTTTCGTTTCCTTCAGCCACATGCCGTTGCCACAAGACTTTAAACACGAACTTCTGGAATTATCAACCATACGTGAACATATCTGGTCGTAATACGGACCGTGGATTCTTCCCTTATCTTTTGGATATGGTCACCTTATACTGTTGTCAAACCTGCTTGGAACACGGCACCACTGACATTGACTACTTTCATGATGGCGAGGGAAGACCTGCTGAAAAAGTGTCGGACATTGATGTGAAAACAAATCTCACTCTAAATATAGATTACAGTTTTCCTGTGTATGGATTTTTCGGACAGACAGCTTACTCGAAGTATTATGGATATGCATCCGTGGTCGAAGTTGTGGGCACAGTGTTTTTTACTCGAAAACCTGGCAGTTCGCCGGGTGAAGGAAATTTTTTATTAGCATCAATTTTAGCCATTATGCCGTTCTTGGCAATTGCAATTATTTTTGCCTATATAGCTGGAGTGATCATTTGGGTATTGGTAAGTAAGAAAATCTGATCTCAATACAAGTAGTTGAGAACAGCGTTGTAGAGTAACGAGAAGTCGCTTTCTCTTGGTATATTACTTAAATCTTAAAATTAAGCAGATTAACATTCCATTTCCACAAGCGTTAACAACCTAGATTTGCACCCCTACACTTTGTCTGCAACTATATTCCGGGTCTAAGATTAGCCTCTGTTCATCTATCGCAATATTTCTGTTTACGTTTCAAAGGAACGCAGATCCAATCAAGATGAGTTTCCACCAACCTTCATCCGTGGAGTACCAAGTGGCTTTTGGTGGGCGTATATCACCATGACTACAGTGGGGTACGTTTATGACCATGATTTTATAAACTTTAAAATGTTTTGGACGATTTGATATCTAAAAATCCTCATGCGTGACTTCGTTTGTCTAGATATGGTGATAAAACAGCCAGGACATTACCAGGACGTATTTTCGCTGTGGTTTGGGTCTTGACTGGTCTAGTTATCGGTTCTTTACTGATAGGAAGTATAGCATCAGCATTTACTTCAATAACATCTACACCTGAGGATAGTGTAAAGATGCTTTATGGCGCAAAGGTAATGTCTGTATACAAAGTATAATTAGCCTCTCTTACGCTTGGCATATCTGCCATTTTGGGGTACTGCCTCCCCCAAGTCTGAGAGTATACGCTTTATCACTGTATTTGTGAGTATAATGGTAAATTTACAGTTAAAACTTTGTTTAGATTGTCTAGATTCTCTGATGAGGGAAGACAGTACCCAAAAACTGGCAAATATTGGTCTCGCCGTTCTCTGTATTGAGCGAGTCTCCTTCATCTCTCATTACATGTCCATACCATCTCAACCTTGCTTCCCTCACCTTCTCTGCAATGTCTACCACCCCACATCTTCTGATCTCTTCATTCCACAATATCTCTGATCTTCTCTCCTTCATCTCTTCTTATCACGTGTCCATACCATCTCAGCCTTGTTTCCCTTGCCTTCTCTGCAATGTCTACCACCCCACATCTTCTGATCTCTTCATTCCACAATATCTCTGTGCTCTGACCAGCTCTCCTTCATCTCTTCTTATTACATGTCCATACCATCTCAACCTTGCTTCCCTCACCTTCTCTGCAATGTCTACGACCCCACATCTTCTGATCTCTTCATTCCACAATATCTCTGTGCTCTGACCAGCTCTCCTTCATCTCTTGTTATTACATGTCCATACCATCTCAACCTTGCTTCCCTCACCTTCTCTGCAATGTCTACCATCCCACATCTTCTGATCTCTTCATTCCACAATATCTCTGTGCTCTGACCAGCTCTCCTTCATCTCTTCTTCGCCTCATCTAAGTGTCCACACCAATGGCTACCACCCTACATTTTCTAATCTTATTTTTTCCTCATTTTGTCCTTCAGCGAAACTTCCGGGACCGTCTCAATATTCACATCTCTGTCCGCCAGGTCTTCTTTTTCCGCATTCACTATTCAGCATAACCCAACCTCAGTACTGTTTTGTAGATTTTGCATTTCATTTTCCGTGGCAATCTTATGTGACAGATGAATCCTGAGATTCTTCTCTATTTCATCCACGCGTTTAACTCGCGTGGATGAAAATTTCACTTTTTAAAAATTTCCGAGCATTTTTGAAATTTTTAAAATTAAAACTTGCTGTTTAACTTTCGGCAGGTTGCAGCGTTACATGACTCACCGGATCACAGACTGGGCGTTCGACGAAGTGCACAAGTGAACAAATGTAAGTTAGCAAATGCTAAACTTAACTAATTTTCTTTATACTGAATACTGTATCAGTTCCCTAACTGTCCCCCCTAGAGGTACAGGTGGACGGTAGAATCAGAACCTTTCTCAGATGTGACTGAGGCTAAATTACAACCAGACAACAGCATATTGCAAGAATCAAACCTCGGTCACAAAAATGAAAGACACATACACTGACTACTGTGTCATCAACACCAATGCCACTCAATTGTTTATCCTTTTCATGTGTCATGGGGGATTAAAACAACAAAGACAAGCAAACAAAGAGTGACAGTAAAACATGTAAACATTGCATGAAAATTCATGGTTGAGATACGAAAACATTAAATTGATACCATTAAATTGGTACCCCCCGTTTCTCCTCAGTTTTGAACTGGTCCTGCAGAAAATCGGTGATACCCCCATCCCCCGTGGCTATGCCTCTGTTAATCGTCCATTTATCTTAATTGTTTTATGTTCACTTTAAATCCATATAGTAAAGAAGTATTGGTCTGTAGAAGACGTACGTCGAGCGCTGCTCAGCAAGAAGGTCGATGGCATGCTCATTGACAGTTATGTTGCCGACTCAAGACGAAGCCTGTTCAGTGATCTTTCAATCAAGCAAGTTATTGATCTCAGTTCGAGTTATGGTGTGGTGATGGGTAGGGATGCCTCCAAGATACGAAAGTGCACGAATAAATTTTGGAAAGAAAATGCTGCGACGAGAATAAAGTTTATTAATAAAAATCTAAAACCTGTTGTGGTAAGCTCCTACTTGTATGTATGTAAACGCTTGTTTTTGCTCCAAATTCTAATGCTGTAAACGTTCAAAAATGGTGCCAGTTTGCTAAAATTATAAACTATCAAGCTTTGTATTATAGCTTGCCTATACCCAGGTGTAATATTGAAAGGTATTTTTGAGTATTATATTACGAATTTCCCTCTCCCAATTTCTGACACTCCAAAACGTACACATGAATTGTTTCGGTTTTATGACTGCGTTTATTTTTTTATCTCCAGGCAACTGAAGTGTCTCCTGCAGAAGTATTTGGCGATTCGTTAAGTCACGAAGCGGATATGTACAAGTTAACACTGAACATATGTTTGATTTTACTGTTTGTGGGAACTATATGTGGATGTATTTATGAATTCAGACGACGAAAGAAGCGCGCTACGAAAGTAAAACCTGAAGGTATGGAGTAAATCCATTTACCAAGTCAAATCCGAGTCAATTCCGAGCCCGAGTCACGTAAAAAAAAGACGAAATCGAATAGGGTTAGGAGTGGGTTTAGGGTGCTAAGTCATTGAACTACAAAGACCGCTAAACAGTGACTCGGGCATTTGACTCGGATTTTACTCGTTTAATTGACAAACTCTGAAGGTATGAATGACCATTTCATTTTATCCACTTTCGACAATGTCATTCTATAATTTTATCTGAATTCATTTTCGTTTTAAATGTTCCCTTCCTTTCATTATGATTCTGCTTCAGTCCATTTGAAGATTGCTTCCAGACTGGAAGAGAGATTTTCTCCGGGCGTTCTGATTTCCCCTAGGGGCTAGAGACTTGGAACGATACAGTTGCGATGACAAAATAGGCTTAGCCTCAAGAAAGGACAGTTTTTAGAACTCATGGAATAAAGTTCGATTAGTTTTATATAGGTTTAATTATTTTGAGCCTTGGACGTGACTGGTGACATTTTTTAAAAACTGTATCCTTGTATAATTGATATGCAGAGGAATGAATAAAGACTGAAGATTTGAACGTTCTTTTTCATCTTTTAGATCCTCCCGATATTACAAACGATCTCAAACAAGAGGTGTATCAATTTCTGGAAAAAATGAACAACCACATTACGGAAACGAAGGCCAAACACAGACAGCAAATCATTACTCTTAGCAAATGGAAACGGAAGAATAAGAAACAGTCAGATAAGTACATTGAAGAGGGAGAATATGTTTCCACTGAAATGACCCCCAACCCTAGTTAGATGGAATTGGATTTTAATGTAAATATACATGCTAAGCATGCGACTGGGATAATTTAATATAATGTCGTCTCAAGACGCACATGGTAAAACGCACAAATTTTTGAGGCCTGCAAAAGACGTGCTACAAGATTGCGTCAACAAGCCGATATCAAGCTGCTTGTCAAATTTGTAAGCCTGCAACAGAATTGTCACAAGGTTCACTTAACACCAGCTCTTTAATTAATTAAACAGAAATTGAATGCTAGCAATTTACATTTAGTGAGTATTCCCCGATAATCACCTCGCCTTCGGCGAGTAATTGTTTTAGTATTTTTACACAAGTTTTTTTGTGTTTTTTGGGACTGAATTTATTTTAATTAATTAATTTCGCTTATTTCTTTATCAGTAACTTCCACAAAACGGCTAGCTGCCATTTTGTAAATTTCGGTTTTGTTATATTCACCTGTACGTTCACGACCTGCAGCTTAATACGTAAAATTTGACCAATCAACTTGTAGGACTTGTTATGTTCACTTGTGCAAAAAATACTAATACACAATAATGTTGATAAATGAGAAAATTATTAATATAACTACATGCAAATATATATAAACGTGTTTTTTTAATTTAAAAATCTATTGTGTCTTTATTTTGAAATTCCCGGAGGTACACACCAACAATGAGGAACTAGATAGCATGGAGAACAGCGAGATTTTCAAAACAATGAAAAGACAATGATGGAACATTCTTATCACTTAATCACGATTGGCACTTTTATTATTATGCAAATTGTTATGAAGATTGAAGTAAAGTTTCATATTCATTTTATGCAAACGAGTGTAAACCGTACAGTACATCGTTATTGGAACCAAGTTCTCTAATGAAGGCAACCAGGAACTAACATTTAACTTGTTGTCGTCGAGTATTTAGTCTATTTATGCGACGAAGTCAGCTATCGAGGGCACGTCTTGGTGTGTTGCTGGCTTTGAACTGGTAGTGTTTGTTCACTTGTTGTGGTACACGGGCTACGTTTCCACTGGGTGAATATGTTGCACCACTAATTGCAGTGATGTACGAGACTGTAATTCATCCCTTCAGACCTGCTGCAGTCTACGGTGATGGGTCGTATTCTCCTTACTCATGGAAGGTAAGTAGTAATATTGTAGAAACTGTTTGAGATGTCTTAATCTATGACCGATAGTCAGCTCTCCTATGGTTCCGGAAGCGTGAATACAATCCATCCTAAAACGATCAAAATAATTTTAATGCATAAAAATCCCACCATCCCGGCTGTGAATTATTTTTAACAGAGTACCTTGTTCGTAGTTCGCCATTTTGTAGAAAACACGTGGTTCCTCCCTCAGAAATAACTTTAATTTGAAACAAGAGAAGCTAGAGAGGGAAGCAGATTTAGAAATTTTATATGTCGTAGTGTTGATTTTAAATAAAGACAAGATATGATGGTCTGGATGAAAAAACCTTCAAGAATTCTACCTAGAGTATGGGGGAGGGGGGGGGGGATGTGAAGCTTGCCGGATTACCTATTTGTGGGGTTCTTCTCCCCGGGTCCAGAAGATTCTAGCAAGTGGAATTTATGCGCTAAAAATCGTACCGTAAATGTCCACCATAAACCTAAGAGATTGACAGCGAAATATACTGATATCAGTGGCTCTGTTCCTAAAACGTTCTGAAAGCAGAATATCATAATTACAAAAGTACAATGCATTTCTTCTCTTCAAAGACTAAACACAGAAAATAGTTCGGTGTTGAACATACCAAGTAAGACATGTCCGAATGACTTTGACTAAACGACCAAAAATCTGAAGAAAATGTTGCATATTAAATTTTAACACTACAAAATGTTTCATTACAGTTGACTAGCGAAATAAGTATGGTGATATGTATCGTGAATGTAATGGGGTTGCATTGATTTACTTAATACTTCCTGGTCAACTCGTAGAGTTGAATACCAATTACCATTTCAATTTATTTAAAAAGAAATGCATATAATATAACTTACAAATCAGAGCTCCTCTCACATAAGAGAACTGAGCTATAAAAACGGAGAAAATCATCGCCAGAAATGCGCCATGATTATTAATAGCAATACACGTCATCAGAAACAAACAGTGATGGTCCAAGCCTTTGTAACAACAATCGCACAGTCGACAGTGCTTCGTTCTCCACGGATAAGCTGTCTATAGATGAAACAAAACAAAACAGTTATAATACAATAAATTGCTTGGTTTTGATTCAAATGTGTGAATACAGTTTTCCCATTGAGAATACCGTTTTCACCGGGTATTCCAGTTCTTTCGTGTGTTAACACAGGGTCAATAGGGCATATTCCTTGCTGGACCTGTAGGGGGAACAGTTTAGAACTGACAGAGCTATCCAGCTGCTTGTCTTTGAGTGGCATTAGCGTTGCTAGCAACAAGCCCCAAAAGAAAATAATTAAATTACATACAGTATACATACCTTGCACCTAGAGCAGTATTGACACGATCGTATTCGAGCACTGACTACATCTATTATACCCTGGGAAAAAATCGGATCAATAAACTCAAAGAGAGAAGTGACACAACGAATTTCTTACTGTACCTTACAGTGATGGATGTGGGTGGGTGGGGGAGGGCGCACTCTCTGAATTTCTTCACACCTCTCCCCGAAACAGCGAGCATCAAACAGTGTATACTGAAATCGTCATGATATTGATATGTGATAGTGGCAGAGGGGTGTACCCTCTGAAAAATATACACCACCTTTTGTGAGCCTACTTACCATTGGATTCCCGTCTGTGTCAAATTTTGTGTCGTCGCTAATCCCAGGGTCTGCATAAACACTCCTGTAGAAATATAAATTAGAACAGATGCCATCACATTTTCCGATACATCGCATGTTTTATAATAGCACAAGTGTATAGAATGGACCAGCTCACCTCAATGATACCGCAAACAGAGCAACCATCAACAAAGAAAATACTGTGTACCCATAATCGGGCCAAATTTCTACGAGCTAGTTAAGACCAACATATATTTCAACATCGTTTTATGGGTCGTCTTTTATTGGTCCCAGAAAGAACCTACAAGCTACAGTGTTTGATAAAGTCAGTGTAAGGTTACGTTTATACTGTAACGGATAGTTTTCCGTAGCGACGTGAAAAAACGCCTATCCGTACCTTTTAGGAACGCTATTTTCAGAGGAATTATTGCAACAAAGAGATGTTGTTTCACTCAGCTTCTGAAAGTTGTACATTCCGTATCGGATAGGTGCTTTTTCGCGCCTCTATGGAAAGCTATCCCGATATAGTGGAAACGCGTAGCCGAAGAACTCTTCAGCACACATGTTGACAATCGGAATATTCACGCGACCACAACCTTAAAAGGATACTGGGTAAAAGAACGGTGAAATAAATGAGCAAACTAAGGATAACTGAACCAAAGAACCATCCTGCCAAACCAGTGTTTGGAGCTCGCGATATATGCCAAAGTCGATGCGGTCTCATCGCATAGAAATAGGCGTAGAAAAATATCACTAAATTAAAACAGGTCATCACCACACGCGAGTTAAAATACCAAATATTTAATGCGATAAGTAGAGTGCTTGCTGACGGAGTAATGAGAGGCATAAACCACGAGACACTGGGGACATCGAGTTTTCCGTTTGCTCCACGCATTCTTTGCCACCGTCGTAGAGCTCTTGTCAGTCTAAAAATGCGTAGAAATGTATTGGCCAGGGGTAGGTATACGAAAACTTACAAAATTTTTTTTGGTGAGTAAAGACTAGTAGTGATCTCACAACCCTTTTTTCCTTTTTCATTCAATAAACTTTGAGAGAACATTTTTGTGGAAAAATTGTTGCTATCCAATTTTTTCTCAAGAATGGGGAAACCATGAAACCGTTTTCCTGGCCATGTTTCCTAGAAACTTACGCTAAGCTATGTTTTCCCGAGGTGGCGTAATCAATCGGTGTCTTCCCATCTGAATCTTGATCGTTTAACAAACTGTCCTCGCTTTTACTTTCCAGTATCCAACAAACGTCTCTGAAGATAGAGTGAGAAAAAATGTAATACATTTGTTGTATACAATCGTGTGTCTTTCTGAGAGGTTGAAATTGATTTGGAAAAATGTGAATGGTGCAATGGTTTAGTAAATATAAGTGGTGTGGTATAGTATGATGTAATATGGTATGGTATAGTGTGGTATGGTATAGTGTGGTATGATGTAATATGGTATGGTATAGTGTGGTATGGTATGATGTAATATGGTATGGTATAGTGTGGTATGGTATGATGTAATATGGCATGGTATAGTGTGGTATGATTTAATATGGTATGGTAAAGTGTGGTATGGTATGATGTAATATGGTATGGTATAGTGTGGTATGGTATGATGTAATATGGTATGGTGTGGTATGGTATGATGTAATATGGTATAGTGTGGTATGGATGATGTGGTATGGTATGGTATGGTATGGTATGAAGAGTATGTTTTGGTGTGGTATGGTAAGGTGTGGTACATTTTGATGTGGTATGGTATGATGTAGTATGGTATGGTATGGTATGGTATAGTGTGATATGGTATGAAGAACTATCATGTTATAATCCTGGTATAGTGTTGTGTGGTATGGTGCAGTACTATACAGTGTTGTGGGTGTGGTATGGTATATGATATGGTGTGAAATTACCTGTTGGCTTGAAGAACTGCCTCATGCATTGCTGTTCTGTTTTTGCTGTCTTTCATGTGCAGATCAACATCCTTTAGTAAAAAATGGGTACACAATGCGTACACAAATATTTTCCAAACGTTCTAGAATGACTCCCAATTTTATTGTGATATTATTCTCCTAAGTAGTGCATTAATTGACTTAAGCAACAATAAACCACTGGTAAATTTATTGAGTACACTAACAAGCTTATGATTTATAGAACTTTGAGGGTGACTGGAATGGTTGTGTTACCTTGGGCACCTCTGTAAATTTTCTAGTCTAACCTTTTGTTTTACAAGATATTTGATCAGCTCAATATGTCCATGTTCTACAGCAAGATGCAAGGCAGTGCGGCCTCTATACAAATAAATATATTTCTTAGTTGATTATTAACAAAATTTTAATAATTCACACAGAACAGAATGACTACACCTTACTTTTTATCTCTTTGCCACTTGTTCACACCAAGAAATTCTAGATACTGGAATGTCAGTCTGAAACACAATGGCGTAAGGTGATTATGGGGAGGTTCAGATTTGACTTCCACTATCTCTACCAATCAAGTGAGAGGTAGTCGTAGTGGAAATAAAATCTGAACCCCTATTTATGGTTATTAACCCATTTTGTAACAGGTTATCTTATTTCTTCATTTTTCTCTCTCTAAAACCAGATGATTCAACTCTTCAAGAGGAATGGTTTCTTTTAAAAAAATGTAAGTTTATATATATATATATATATATATATATAAGTATATATTTAACAATTATACCATGAGCTCGAGTCGTATATGAGCTGATAGCCGACGAGGTGCGTAGCACCGAGTCGGCTATCAGCCATATACCACGAGAGCGAATGGTATAATTGTTTTATAATATAGTCTAATATAGCCATTAACTGAAGCAGTAATTAATTATTCACTGTTACAATGTGTTGACAATTTGTTCGGCCAAAAACCGCTTGAAAATTTGGAATACTTTTGTTTTACAACTCGAAGACGAAGTGGAAGAAATGGTTTTAGAACCTCTATATCTCACAGGAAAGCTCAGATATATTATACAGATGTTTGGTACTATAGTAAGTGCTTGTTGACTGCAAATTCATTTGTCGTTCATTGCAAACTTTTCTGAACAATTTATATTCTCAATGAACATGTTTTTTCGCTGTTGTTTCGGTATTAATTCTTTAAAAAACTTGTATTTAAACTAATTTCTATGTAATAAATGTATTTTGCTAACCTGTCAAATTTTTTTGAGAGTTTTTCCTTGTACTATTATCTTTCTCAAAGCGAATATTTTCCTTTTTTCTGCTTCGCAAAACTTGTGTAGTTTTTGGACCGCCATCTTGTTTTTCGCTACTCGCTGTATACAATCCAACCAATCAGATTGCAGAACAGCTCATATACGGTGAATGACTATATATATATATATATATATATATATATATATATATATATATATATATATATATATATATATATATATATATATATATATATATATATATATATATATATATATAAATTGAAAATTTCAAATATTTTTGTTTTGCCACTCGAAGACGAAGTGAAAGAAATGGTATTAGAAACGGTATATCTCACAGAAAAGCTCAGATATATTACACAGATGTTTGGTAGTAGTAAGTGCTTGTTGACTGCAAATTCATTTGTCTTTCGTTGCAAAGTTTTCTGAACATTTTATATTCTCAATGAACATGTTTTTTCGCTGTCGTTTCGGTACTAATTCTTTGAAAAAAAACTTGTTTTTAAACTAATTTCTATGTAATAAATGTAGTTTGCTAACCTGTCAAATTTTTTAAGAGTTTTTCCTTGTATACTATTATCTTTCACAAAGCGAATATTGTCCTTTTATCTGCTTCACAAAACCCATGTAGTTTTTGGACCGCCATCTTGTTTTCGCTACTCGCCGTATATGAGCTGATATACGATGAGTAATTCAACCAATCAGATTGTAGAACAGCTCATATACGGTGAATGACTATATTATAAATATATATTTAAAATTGTTATCTTTTCTACTTAAAATTAATGAAATCGCAACTCCGAGTTTCACGTTATGTATGTATATATTAAACAAGTACAGATTCTGTACTAAAACCATTAATTCTGTTTTGTGATTGGCGCGGTTTAATGAAAGAATCTCCCCGTTGAACCAGAGCCTTCGCGACGTTTCAATTTATTATTTAATGTCGAAGGCTCTGGAATCCAGGGTATGCATGGTAGTGATTCCGAGTTTTCCAGGATATTTTCTTCATGTAGGTTATTTATTAATAAAGAAAGTAGGTAAGAAAGTATACACTTGCGATATTTTAAATATATCATCCTCTTACTCGATCTAATTTGGAGTATTTTGAACACTCATACATCCTGTACACAAGTACAACCTATCAACACCCACACAAATTTAGTATTCTATAAGTCTTTTGTCTTTAAATTTCTTTCCGCCCCCGTGTAATTAATTATATTTACGCCTCATCATTATTACTATATTGACAAGGATTTTCCTTTGGTGAAAGATATTAATTTCTACAGGTACTTCTCAAACATCCTTGTTCAGGAAACTCTCGTACTAAGTATTGCACTTGCATCAATATATAATTGCGAAATCACGGAAGAAACATTTACAGACGCTGCAATTTTCAATACTAAAATACAGTATTTTGCTTGATTAAATTTAATTAATATGAATTACGACCGAGATCTCCAGAGCGGTTTCAATTGAATTTTGTTCAATGCTTAAAATACACATTACCAATGTCAATAATTGAATGCCAATATTCTTGAACGATTTCCCTTGAACTTTAATACATCTATTTATGTTAATTTGGGAGTTTTCCACATAATGGACAAATTTATAGCTAGCATCAATATTAATTAATATAAACTCTCATAAATTAAGAAAAATGTATCAATATTCCAGTTTGCTATATACTATCACCATTATAATGGCGTAAATATTACAATAGTATTTACACATTAAAGCATCTGCATAAAGTTTTACACAATACCTCCTTTCCTACTTCAAAAATAATGCATCTGACCAAAAGTGTTTCTAGCTTGCCTTCACGAAACACAACAAATTTTCTCCTGGTAGCTATACTTCGGGTCAGTCCTGGAGGAACACAGCCAAAATGATTGTCGTCCAGACTTCTAACCAGAAAGAATATAAATGAAATTCATAGTGTGCTTCGGCCGTTCAGGTTTTGACCAGTTATAAAAATATGGGGCGTATTGGACATGCAGACAATGAAACATAGAGCTCAACAGAAGAGAGCGGATACATGTTTTTATTGCTTTGAAATAAAGTAAAACCATGCGAAAATCTTTCTCACTTTACTTTAACTTGGTTGATCTGTAACTGATTAACTTTTTAATTCTTTAAGGGCATGCAATAAAGACCTGAGGCAGGTTGTTCGAAAAGTGATAAATTAGCGTCACTATTTTTAAGATTAAATCAATATTGCTCTACAAATTTTTATGTAGACTTCTCTACTGCATTAACAAACCATTTTTATAATATAGCTTAGTAAGACGTTCTTGAAAATTAACATTGACTAGGGCTCCGCTCAACATAAGTTTCCACAGAAATAACTGATATGAGGCTACTTTTTAATGCTTGGTATATTAGCTATATTATTCAGTTTTGAAATGAAAGATTTTCGCAATAAATAATAATTAAAAATACTCAGTTTTGTCGAGTGCCTGATGGCAATTAATTTCGATGATGACATGCGCATGTCAATCCTGCAGGTAGTGATGGAATGGCTGCTTTGTTACCCAGTAACGGGAAAGTGTGAATGTTTTTGGAAGCAGTATATATATACACAAAAATTGAGATATTCTGGGTTCTATATTAATTATCAATGCGGCTGATTCAAACTTTAAAAAGACTATATGCGTTACTGACATTCGCAGCTTTGTACGATTACCCACCAATTAGCAGGGGCTGGACAAATAAGTATTATTATTACTATTATTATTATTATTATTAATTTATTTCGCCCAATTTTCCAAAGTACAATAAAATTTAACTATTTACATTTTTATAATCTATACGTAGGGCTAGAGATCTTTTAGAAACCCTTTTGGGCTTGTAATTTAAGACCCCTAGTTATAACAAAACTTTTTATACTTAGTATGATTTCATGATGTCATAAGAATAGTACATAATATAATAACGAAAATATATACAATTGTGGGGGTTTTTAAAGGTATAATCCAATTAAATTAAGCTTTTTAAGTATAATCCATTTAAACAATTTTGTCTATATCGTTCAGCATGCAGTTAAACATTTTTATCCAATGGCTGTGTATATATGCACTGCTTCCAAAAACCTTCACACTTTTCCCAACCGTTTTGCGTTGCTGGGCAACAAAGCAGTCATTCCGTCACTAACTACAGGATTAACATGGGCATGTCATCATCCAAATTAATTGTCATCAAGCACTCGACAAAACTGAGTAATTTTTATTATATTTTGCGAAAATCTTTCATTTGACTAACTGAATAACATAGCTATAAATATACCAAGCATTAAAAAGTAGCCTCATATCAGTTATTTCTGTGGAAACTTATGTTGAGTGGAGCTCTAGTCAATGTTAATTTTCAAGAACATCTTACTAAGCTATATGGCTAATGGTTTGTTAATGCAGTAGAGTAGTCAACACGTCCAAAAATGTTCAGAGCAATATTGATTTAATCTTAAAAATAATGACGCTAATTTAGCGCTTTTCAAACAACTTGCCTCAGGTCTTAAAGCTCTTACTGCACTTATTAAGAAAATCATCCCTTTTAATTTTTTAAATTAAAAAAGTCAGTTAGAGATTAACCTAGTTCAAAAGTAGAGTGATAAAGATTTTCGCATGGCTTTACTTTATTTCAAAGCAATAAAAACATATATCATCTTTCTTCTGTTGAGCTCTATGTTTAATTGTCTGTCCAATACGCCTCATATTTTTATGAATGGTGAAAACGTGAACGCCCAAACAACACTATATGATTTTCATTTATGTTCTTTCTGTTTAGAAGTCTGGACGACAATAATTTTAGCTGTGTTCCTCCAAAATTGAACCGAAGTAGCTATATCAGGAAAAATTTGTTGTGTTTCGTGAAGGCAAGCTAGAAACTCTTTTGGTCAGATGCAATATTTTTGAAGTAGAAAAAGAAGTTTCGTGTAAAACTTATATCTTGTAATATACTTACACCCTTAGGCTATAATGGTGATATAGTAGAGCTACCTGGAATATTGATACATTTTTACTAATTTATGAGAGTATAATAGCTATTTTATTGAAGCGTGCATGCATATAGCCTAAGTAAAGTATAAATAATATCATGGCTTCGGTTTAGGAATTTTTTCACTCTTTCAAATTCCGTGATTTCGAAGTATGGTGCAGTTCGAGTGTACAGACAAATTAGCGAAAAAATAATCTGTCCTGACATGTGTGATATGAAATTGTCGGTTCAGTATATTTAGTTGCGATAATAGCTAAATTTATCCATTAGCCCATGCACAAAATGAAAATTTTTATTGTTGGTACGCTTTATTTTATTTATATTATTGACCAAGTGTTGCTTCATCACTTGCTAAAACCTGCTTGGACGTTAAGTGCTCGATCTGATTTAAAAGAACGCATGTAGGAAAAAAAGAAGTAGGCTATCTATTTCAAGATATGATTATTGTTTCCGTTTTCGAAAAAAAAGAATATATTAATTTTACATACGTGCGCGGTTTGATCGGGTAGTTTGATCCTAATATTAGTAAGCTTTTGGTAATTAAAATTCTAAATATTAAATAAAATTTCGGGTAAGTTTGAACATTGTGGTATGTAAACAACATATTGTAATTACGTTTTGGCTGTGTGAATGAAGTATGTTCATTGTCTAATAGAAGATAACAAGATATTATTAGCGTTGATAGAAATCCTGGTGTTTCTACCATACTTTATCGCCATATGAAAGCATTAACTTATTTTTTATGTACTATTTAAAGCACGCGTAAAAAAATACTTAATAAAAAAACAAGGCAAAAAATAATGTTGACCTGTTTTATGTGTTCGATTATTGTGGAAGCTACATTGGAAGGAATTCAACTGAATTTAGTTGAACACATCGAATGCGACGGTTGTTCATGCCATGAAAGAATTTAAATTCGTTCTGTGAATTGATTTCGTTGTATTCGTCCTGGTCCTGGTGAGACATAAATAGCGTCTGTATAGCTCTTTCACTCGCCGTCGTTCCGTCGTGTAAAACGTGATGCATACAGTACATTTTGTGAATGTTTCATTCTGATTATTTGTTTCGTCATTTCTGTACAAACTATGATCTGGCAGGACAAAATGCGAGTCTGTCTAAGCTAATTTTCTTGTTTGTCACGAGTTCATACTGCACTAATGAGAACTGAAGTTAATTGAAATAAAGTGAACCTCTATGAAAGTCGCCTGCAGTAAGCCGACTCCAAACTACTGTAAACAACTGTAGTGCCACTTCAGCTGTACGTCTTTAGGCTAATTTAAAAGTATTGTGCTTGTATACTTTCAAGTTTATCTTTGTGATCAAGATGTGAAATAAAGATAAGTAAAAGCACTCATTATATTGGCTTACAATGTTTGTGACTACTCTGGCGAATATTGTAGTCATGGCAAGGGCGTCGTGGGCTCTGCATAATGAAGCCTTGGAAAGAATATAAAAGGTGCGAGTTTCATCAGTCCGTCACATCATTTTCGGTCTTCAAGAAAGAAACAAAGAGTTCGAAGAGAAATAAAAAACAATGAAGAATTTTGCACTGTTGTGTTTCCTTTTGGTGGCTTCAGCCTGTGTGCTTGGTACGTATGATATGAATAAATTTACCTCGCCTAATTGATTGTAGGATTTGAATCAACAAATATTCTGCAACTGTCTGATCAAGTTCCTAAATCTTTTGCATGTAAATGAGCAGTTGTAAACTAAATAATACATTTGGACACTTCATTTCAGACAACCAAACTCTGGGAAACACTTTGACTTAATATAATTTATTTCATTATTTTCCATCAAAGTCGCTCACGCTGAAGAAACACCAGCTGTCGATTCTTCCAAGATGGAGGATCAGCCAAAGACTGCAGACGTGATGTCGGACGAAGCTGAAACGGAAAACGATGAAGTCGATACTGAAAGCGACGAAGAAGAGACGGAAGCTGACGATGCCCAAGAAGATGAAGAGGTCGAAGAAGACGAAAGTAGGCGAGAATTCAGTTTGTGAAAGAAACGTCACTGAGATCAAACTCCCTTTCTTAACTATATATAACTCTTCCAAATGGATGTATATAGTAACACAACGTACATCAGTTTCTTCGAAAATATTTGTCAGATCTTTACTGTCTTCAAATTCAGTATATGTCAGATCTGTAGTGTCTTCGAGTACATGACAAATCAACATAAAATATATGACTGAGCTATCCCGCGTAATATATATATTTGAAATATCTATATTCCTAGGCATCTCACTCAATTTTACTAAATATTGAATAATTGAAATCTTTCAACATCAGTTCAATCGAGCAACATCCCTAAACATCAGTATATCTTACCATATGGCCTCACGTTAGCATAATATAATCTACACAAACTTCCACGTAGAGTCGAGTACCACACTGTGTAGGTCAGTTTATTAGAGCGGTGCAGCGGAGCAGCGTGTTACATGTTTGTTTCTAGCAAGAAGGCTTATAATTTTGTTTCTGCAGGAGGGCCTGCATGCGATCTTGGTTCAGTCTGAAGAAATGTATAAAATTTACACTCGAAATCTCCATTCACAAATCCTCCAACATTTCATTTAGTTTGACATAAATAACATCATTTTCCATTCTTTCCATAAGACATTGCACAAAGAGGATTTGCTAGAGCAGCAAAATATATGGACGTGACAACATAATTATCTGGTTTCAATAAGTTTCATATATTTAAGAAATAACGAACAATTAAACAAATATATTTCTTTCTTTAGAAGAAACCACCGATATCGCAGATGACGAGCCCGAGAAACGAGGTCAGTGTTTTCCCACAGTTATCATATAATTTTTAAAAATTTATTTTCTGAATTTATTTCCTTTTTTTAAAATATTTATTGAAGGGTTGTAACTCACAGAGTGTATACGATAAAATTTCCCATTTTCCAGTGCGATTTAGATTTAAATTTTTTAACCAACCTGCAGCTTTCCTCCTCAAAAATATGCGTTTGACACATCTATGATAGGTCTTTTGTTCTCATACGTAAGTCCGACTATAAAATGAATGTTTTTCTGACCAAATTTTATTCTGCAGCAGATTTTCCTAATTACATATGCATCTGGAATATATAAATTAGACGCAAGGCTGACGAATTCGGCGGAAGGATGGCGTCAGTTCTATTCTCGTAATATTCTTGTTAGTTAACTTTAAAATTCTCGTTATCTGTATATGCAACCTATGTATTGAATAAGTCGTAATTAATAAGGCTTAATTAAGCATTACATGTACGGTTTGCCGACAATGTGATTTTTTATATTCAGGATGGGTATGCAGACGATACAGGAAAGGTAAACTTTGGTGTAAGGCATGTGGATGTCGACGTGTGTGCAAACCCAAAGTGTGCTCTCGACGTGTCTGCAGACGCGTCAGATGTACCAGGAGAGTATGCCGTATTGTGATCAGATTCAGAATCGTCAGATACAAATACCGCAACCCCTATTACAAAGGATATGGAAGTCTCTACTTGTGGAAGACCAAAAAGGTTCCATACAAAGTTCGTGTCTGCAAAAATGTGCCAAGTTTCTGCACCAAATGTTACAACCAACGTTATAATTGCGGTCGTGTTTGCAGGAATATATGCAAATACAGAAAGGTAAGCGATAAATAAATAAATACTTGAGAAATTTTTTATTCTACATGGTACCATAAGGGACCGGTCATAAAGTAGAGGGGGGGGGGGCTATAAAAATTGATTTTTTAAAGACTTGTTTACAGTGACCCACCCCCAAATTGTGACAATAAATTGAGGTGGCCCACCCCTAGATTAGAGCAGAAATCTTAGTGACCCCCCCCCCGTCATGTAGATAATGTACTGTACGGTAATGTAGTTAGGTGCGCGTACGTTGGCAGCATTGGCTTACCACGATTCTTTACTAGTTTAGTCAGAATCCCCGAAAAATCTCCGAGATTGAAATGTTGTAACACGCCGCCCGACTCTTGAACATAATTCAACTATGTCCAAACATAATGCATGACAGTACATTGAGTAGACTACGGTAGCTAGAACACTTCCCAATGTACTGTATACAAGTGTGAATTCCTGTTGTTTAATATATAAAGTTAATAGGTTAAAGAGATTTCGCAAAAGTTTTTATTTGCTATTTATTAAATTGTGAGACGTGAATAATTTTACCTGACCCACCCTAATGCAGTGCATAAATTTTCCTGACCCACCCTTTTCGACGTGTTGAAAAATAGCGACCCACCCCCAATTTTTCATAGCCCCTACTTTATGACCGGTCCCTAACTCTACTATTGTTGGCTATTTCTCACTCAGTAGTTCATTGGTTAGAGAGATACAAACAATTTGCATAGTCGCAAGTTGGATCCCCTGACAATTTCATTTCGCAACCGCTATATCTCACATACTCAATACGAATCTCATTGACTAATGACAAACTCAAATGCGTCTGTTTGGTCAAAATATTGCGGTAGTGGAAATTAAATCTGAATGCCATATTATCTTTAAAAATTTCTAGACTTCACGCATTACCATGTTAGATGGGCAAAATGATTCTTGGGGTACCAAAGAGATGGCATAGCTATATATGTTTTCTCATCTGAACTAAAACTTTACGAATAGATTTGCAAATGATTTGATGGTTCTTTTCATTAGAAATATTGTGGCGTCAAAAATGGCGTAGGGGATGTTTCGAAGTGTTTCGACTGCCTGAAATTGTAAAACTACAAAATTTCTACATGCGTTCGTTTCAAATATGCATGATTTTAAAGCTGGTTCAAGAGAAATAAAGTTAATGCACAAAACCATGTCTCCATCTCTATTTTAATTAAGTCGCCAAAGGCATTTGACATTACACCAACTACACTATAGGCACATTTATACCATTGCCTATAAATCTAATCTAATAATGGCTTCAATTATTTTATTTATTGAATTTGTCACCCTACAAAAAAAGATTACATTGACAAAGATAGCTATGTGACAGGAGAACGGAACAGGACGAAAGTCCAACTTGAAACCTAAAATTAAATTATTAAATTAAATAAAATTATTTGTTATTGTATTTTCTAGTGCGCACTCTACGGATAAACTCAAGCTCATTTCCTGAAAGAATATCTGATTAAGAACGGATAGCAACCATTGGAAAACGTCATATTCACTACAAATATAATATGTAGTTGTTGTTAAAAATAAACAAACTTTTTAAATACGTCTTGTTTTTTTTCATTTTCCAAATTATTGGATTTGCAGAATTAAAGGAAGGAGTTATTCATTAAGGTGCGACTAACCCCAAAAATAATTTTTGGTATGTGTAATATTTGAGTGATTCTGAGGAGAAAAGTAATGTATCTTTATGGTAAAAACCTCATCTTGATCAACTTTTCACTGTCAATGTTTCCGGATATGATGTCATCAGGTGGATTTTTGGTTCGAAACAAAGGAAAACTAATTTGCAATGCAAGTCGTATCCGGAAACGTTGACAGTGAAAAGGTTGATCAAGGCGAAATTTTTTGCTTAAAAGATATATTACATTTCTTCTTCTATGGTTTCAGTTTTGTATGTGTAATATTTGGTTAGTCACACTTTAATTTAAATACCGATCTCTAATGTACTGGAAAGGGCACAAAGGCCATATTCACATGGACCACATTTTTTTGTGTTGTTGCTGACATGTTACGAGAGGTTCTTTCAGATTCTAATTTTTGGTGGGATGGACATCCGATATCCAAATACGATGAGCATTAATTAGTAAACTTGCAACGGTTCTCCTATCCTCCTCAATCGGTGTGCAAGTTTTTACGCAACCGTCGACAGCGCGTCAAAAGGTTAAATTTGGTTGGAATTCGAAATTCAACCATGCCAGTGTTCCCCAAGGAACAAGGTTAGATTCTGTTATTCTTCTTAATCATTATCAGTGACTTAATCACCACCATTTCAATCTATAATTTGTTAATGACGTAACCATGTCCGGCATAATCTCCTTGCATCCTAATGATGTAGTTAAAAATACGACAGCATCAAATAGTTCTCACTGACACATCTAGAAATGTCACAGACTTGCTGCATGTTGCGGATTTTACCCGCCTGCTGCAAGTTTTCAACAAATTGCAACAGGCTTGTTGACGTCAACTTGCAGCAAGCCTGTTGAAACAAGGCTTCGACGCTGATGCAAGTTGGAAAATGAAACTTGCTGAAAATTGTTATTTGCACACTTGATCCAAGCTGTTTCATCAACTAACCTAGAAATATGATAGCCTCAACTATATCTCACTTGCAAGACGTGATTAACAGATCGGAGTTACTCGGTGGATTTCTAGCAACAACATGAAACTCAACGAGAAGACAAAGGAATTTGTCGTTTCCTTCATGAACACTCAACCATCGTTGCAACCTCTGATGAACAGGAAACAAAATAATCCCAGAAGATCCCAAAAAATCCCAAAGGAATCTCTGATTCTTCTGGGGTTTTGCTGACACAGGTTTGTATACTGTTTCTGGTCATTGGCGTGAAGGTTACGAGATTTGTATAACCAAGTTCAAGCCTAGGAAAGTACAATCTTCGTCCAAATTGTCGGGAACCAATGGCCATCCATTCTTTTTAATTAAATATTTTAAGTAGTTAACAACTAGTCAAATCTTGCCTGCGAACAAGCGTTTATAGGAGACCCCGAGGAAAATAACGCATGTCTTATAATTTTGAAAAACGTCCCTTGGAAAGAATTTGTTTTCCGCAAAAGGAAAATTAATTCAGGAATATCAGGGAAAGTTATGGAAGCGTTGTGATTCCGAGTAAACTAACTAACAAAGCGTACCAACAAACAAGCTGACATAACAAACTCACGGGCAGAATACTAGGGTTTCCAAACTTGGCACGCCCACTGCAATGTGCGATAGTTTAAAATTCAAAGGAAGCGTCACTGCTGCTCATTTTTGTATTACGAAAGGAAGTGTTTTGCGGGCATGCGTATTTCAGTGGTTTATCTGCACCACAAGTTTCAGCATGATAATTGAGATATAAAAACATATTATAGCCATTTTTTTGCACTACATCTCTCAATTCTATTTATTTGTATATTCACTTTTTGGTTTGGTCTTAACCTAGTGTTTTGGTTAGACCATTGACTCTCAGAGTAATTACATACGGAGGCCTTGCTTCGGCGAAAAAAAACTGTAGGGTAGTTTTTACTGCGCATGTCTGGCGACCATGTGATTAGCAAGTGTCCTAAAGAAAGGTATTAAATCCCTGGAACATTAAATTTCAATATCTTTTTCAGGGGGTTATGGCCTCTCTTAAAGACACTTGCAAAGAACATGACGTTCTGGAAAAATCCCTTACGCTATGTTAACCTGATAAAAATGGAAATATTTTCGTGGCAAGCGGAATTGTGAGGACGTGTTAATTAGCTCTAACTTAAGCAAGTTTTCCACTTCAATCGTATCGTAACGCACCGTAGTATTTTCTCTTGTGTCGAAGTCATTAGTTCCACACTACCGCTCAGGAAACAAAGAAATACGCTACGCTTCGGTACGATACGGATGAAGTGGAAAACCGGCTTTGGTCGGTATACGTAATACTATAGTGCAAATATACAATACAACAGTCCCTCCATTAACAAATTCCTAATGAAACAAGTATTTTGTCACCGTTTTCGAAAGATGAGAGTTGCAACTTGAAAGATGGGATTTGCAACTCTGACCAGGACTCCATCACTCTTATTAACGTTAATATTTGGATTACTTTTGTTTACGAATTTTAGCAATTCAAAATATATGTACTCAAGAGAAATCATTTAGAGTATACCAACGATGGTTTTTGTATAGAACAGTTCCTGACAAAACGTTAGTGTTAACTGTTAAAGTATTTTACTACACTCGGCTACGCTGAGATTGATTCATTGGCGAAGATAGGGCATTATACTTCTTGTTTTCTCAAACAAAATACAAGTCTGTATAGTTGTGCCGAATTTACGATCGACACATCGCTTCCATTTGTTAAATCATAGACAATCCAGAAGACAGGGACTGGAAACGCCTAATGTTTTGCGCGTGCCATCCGTAATGTGCTTGCGTGACGCTTGTGCCAATCATGCCATGTGAGTGAATTACTGAATGGCGCCTGTTGCTTCGAAAAAGAATAAAGAGATAGATTGTGGACCGGTACTTGTCTGCTGTTTTACAGCTCGTTATATACTGGAAAATGTTTAAATAATCTACACCGAAAAGGAAGTTAGGTATATCACATTGTGTGTAAAGTTTATAAAACGGATCTGCTAATATTCTGAGACGAGTGCAGAGAATTTTCGAGCTTGTTCGAAAATTTTGATTTCCAATTTGGAGTGGACTTTCAGGCACGATTCAGGTTTGTTTGCGTATTTTAGTTTACTTTAGTTAAGTTTACGTATATTTATTAAATTTTGCTTCACTGTAATTACGTTATATAAATTGATTGAAGTTATCTTTTCGAAGTTTTCCTTGATCTACATTTTAAAATTTGAATTTGGCAATTTCGGTTTTTAAATTAATATACCTTCCATTTTTAATATTGACAACAAATCCTTTCTTTCTCGAAAACCCTTTTTGCTAAGGCATCCATTATTTAAAAGAAATAAAAACAAGGTTTCAGTTATTT